TCCAGAATTCCAATATTATATCCGGTTTAGTCACAAGATTACTGCGCCAATTTGACGATCCTTCTTTGCCCGTGACATTATATCTGGTAATTATCCGAATAACTATATTATTCGGATAAACTATCTGCTGAATGTAAACAATTATCCGCTATCTGGTATTATCCAGATAATCCGTTCAACACTAACATATGTACGTACATACGTCTATTCATTACAAATTTGGCCATTATCGTTATGGTCACAAGTTCTAGACATGCACCATAACACTCGTTTAAGAAAAAAATCATCGAACAGTAACCATTCTTGAGCTGTAAAAGGTTGTAATGTGAACAATTATTTCCGGTTCTTTTTCGCGATCATTCTCTATAAAAGATCTCTTTAGCCGCATTTTCAATTAACCTTACAGACTTTAGAAAACATTTATAGCAAAAATATACGACATAGACTATTTTTTCAATAAATTAGAAATATAGTACTTTGTTTAAAAAATCAAAGTAATTTTATGGATTCACCAACTGCGTGGAACCTCAAAGATAATTCTATGTTTTTACACATAGATTCTAACGGGCTTAGAGTGAGTTATGAAGGTATTATGATTTATGCCACAACACAAAATACTGTACACAATTTAATGAATGATATAAAATTTTTTAATCGTTTTATCTTTTGTAAATACAAGGTACAGGTGAAACTGATGAAAACTATGCTATGATACGAGCAAACCATTCAATTCCCCCACAGTGCATACTATTTTATTTTGAAGTTGATATCATTGACGGAGGAGAAAATGGGTATGATAAATAAACTTGTTATAAATTCTTTAAATTTTGCTTATACTTTTTTACATGCATTTTAAAAGAGCTATTGGAATCGGTGTTTGTGAAAAGGCAGCTAATTTAAACATGATGCCTGGTGATTTAAACTTTTCTTTATGCATTATGAGCGATGATAAAGGAAAACCTGTAAATTAATTACTTTACCGGATTCAGCCCAAGAAAAACTTACAAATTGATTTTTTTTGATATGCATTATCATACTTTTGGATATAATGATAGGAACTATGACTTGACTATATAGTGTATTATATTTTGTACTGTTTCAATGTAATAATAACCATGATGAATTTAGTCACTAAATGACTAAAATAATCATATGGAATTACATGTTTTCTTTCAACATCACTCATACAAGTAATGAACATGTCTATTCAATACCATTATTAATTATTAAGCTTATGTAATCAATAGGGTGGAGTAATAACTCGTTAGGTTATCATGGTGATGATGGAGGATTTTTTTGTTGTTCAGGAAAGGGTGAGCCTTATGGACCGTTGTTTACTACCGGCGATACTATCGGATGCTGCCTAAATTTTAGATATAAAACTGTATTTTTTACAAAGAATGGTGTGAATTTAGGTAATTTTACATCAGTGTGATAATATTAAATAAATGGTTGTTTCGCCAGAAATGTAAATAACACTTTGTACCATACTTTAAGGAATCGCCTACAAAGATATATATATTAATTTTAAATTAGATGAAATTGCAAAAAATCGTGCACTTTATCCTTGTCTTGGGTTGGGATCACGAGGAGGATCTATTGAAGTAAATTTCGGTCATAAAAAGTTTAAATATGAAGGTAACTTGCTTAGTATTGAACGAATCAATCATATTCATCAGCTCTTTATTTATTATTTGCTCATTTTATTTTTTACGAGCAGCATTCACTAATTATGGCATTGAGGGAGAAACACTAAAAGAGAAATGGAGTAGAGCATTAAACATGTACAATTATGAATTATTAAATAAACAAGTAGATAGTTTGGCGGAATTAATAGAGTTATCAGAAATTGAGCTGATATCTAGAGGAAAAGTTTATTTTGTTATGGGCAAATATGAAGAAGCACTCTCAGATTTAGAAAGATTACTGGAAATTGATCCCAATAATATATTTGCCCTAAGATTTCGAGGAGAAACATATTGTATGATGGAAAGATATAAAGAATCGCTTAATGATTTTGAAGAGTTATTAAGAATAAATCCAAATGATGGGTGGGCACTAAAAGCACACGAAGAAATAGCCTGGATGTGAGTATATGCTTAAATTACTACATGAATTAAATTTAATTTTATATTTATTTGAATAATACCCCTGTCGATTTATAAATTAGATTGTGAGCATGAATTTTATAGATTAAATTAATTTACATTCGTTATAATAATATAATTTCATAAATTTTCAGAAGGTATGTAACTATGTAACAAATTCACTTACATTTACATTTCATGATAATTAACTTCGCTAATTTCATTAGGCGGTGAGTAAACTTTACTGTTATGAACGACTAGTTAATATGATTTAAATCAATTTCAAACCTTACAACGATCAGATTTATATATACATATTTATATACTTACCACATAATTGTCACATAAATTATCATATAGTGAGTAAGTATGAATTTCAATATCATTCTATCAATTACATCAGATTAATTTCCAACAATTACATAAATTATAAAACTGATAAGGGAGTGAGTATATACTGCTTATAAACTATCAAATAATAATTTAATACAAAATATTGAATTATAATATTGAATTACAACTACGACTATCAGAAAGTAAGCGTAATATTTGATTACATATTCCAAATTCACGATTAATTATTATTTATTATATTTTCAATTACATAAATTATAAGGAGGTACGCATAAGTTATATCTATCTATTGTTACGGCTATGTTAGAATTTCTTAATAAACAGGCACTAAATTTATCAGCTTGTAAGTATAGAATTAATTTATTTATAAGTTATAATCAAATATTAATTTATTCTGTTATAAATGGATATAAACTACTAGAAAGTTAGTATAAATTCATGAAATTTGTGTTAAATGATTTTTCAAATCGATCCTATAATTTTTTGAACATGGTCAAAGTTCTTAGTATACATATCGAATGTCGATTACTGCCGCAGCACCTTGGTAGTTTTTTTTTTCAAAATATACTAAAGTATTGTTAACATTGCCAAACTTTACGGTAGGATATCATAATACACTATGTGGCAAGTTCTGGCAATGTTAATATTTTAGTATATTTTGAATAATAATAATAAAAAAATACTGAGGTGATACGGCAATAATAGACGCGAACTTTGAGAGGGAGATGCTAGCTGATTCTTATTATTCACTTCGGTACATGTTCAAAAATATTTATTCGAATTACTTAAACTCCTTATCTAGCATGTTGATATATAAGTGATGGTAAAGGAAAACCTTTTTAACCATGTAGGGTATTACCTAAAGGTGCATTTTTTAAATTGTTTACTAGTGCCGAAGATTATGTTAAAGATTATGAAATGCGATATGGATCAACTGATATTAAAACAGATGACGATGATTGGCAAAAGTCTCCTAGTGCTGAAAGATTAATTCAAAATTTTCAAAATTGGTCAAGTGGTAATCAATATATTGATGAATTAATTAGAGAATCACAACTTACTGCAACAAGTGGAAGAGAGATCTTGGAATGGATTCCATATGAACATTTGGAGGATGTCATTCATTTTGCCGATGGGGGATCGAGTTCTATATTTAAAGCTATTTGGATTAATGGACCTATTATCGGATGGAGCGATGAAATAAATGATTGGCATCGACTTCGAGAATGTTTTGATGGTAAAAAAACTGGTACTATAGTTGTATTGAAAAGTGTTCGAGACTTATCAATAATAAGCGAAGTAAAGATTATTTATATACTGTAATATTAGTGCGATTTATGAGATATTCATTTATTTTTATAATTTCACTTGCAGATGAAATATAATTCACGACGGTTTAAAGAGACACATGTTTCACAAACATCTACAAAAACTTTTGAATCAGAAGAATCCTTGTTTCCAATTTTTGGTATCACACAGGATCCGAAAACTTTTGTATATTTTATTGTAATGCCTTATGCTCGGAAAGGAAATTTAAGAGATAATTTACAACAAATTTCCAAATTAAATTGGAAAGCTAGATTAGAATATTTACTAACGATTATTAACGGAATTATTAGAATTCATCGTTCTGATTTATTTCACGGCAATCTACATAGTGGAAATATACTTTTTTATGATGATAACAAATTATTAATTAGTGATCTTGGATTATCACGTAACAGAAACGAAGAGAATAAAGAATTATATGGTGTACTTCCTTACATTGCTCCTGAAATATTAAAAGGTGATATACAAAACAGAAAATCTGATATCTACAGTTTTGGAATTATCATGTGGGAAATAGCATCCTGTGAACCTCCGTATAATGATATTCCACATGATTCTTGTCTTGCTCGCGATATTTATTCCGGAATTATGCCCAAAATTTCCAATGATGTGCCGCAAAGCTATGCATCCCTTGTGAAATTATGTTTAAGCAAAAATCCAAATGAAAGGCCAACGGCCAAAGAAGTAGAAATGAATATCATTGCTTGGCTATATTATTATTATTTTTATGATGAAATTAAAAGTATCAATGAAGGAGAATTTCTGAAGGCAATCTTACAATTTCTGAATGCAGACGAACTCTTAAAATATAAGACAGAAACCATGTCAATTTCGATTCACCATCCTGAAGCATATCATACAAGTCGGCTTATTAGTTTTTCTGGATTGAATGACATTTTTGATGCAGAATATGGTTTTTGTCCAGATTGTAATCAACGAAATACGTTTGATAATTGGTGCGAACCTTGCAATGCTGATCGATTTCGTCAAAATTTTTCAAAATGGACAAGCGGCAATAATTATATTGATAAATTTCTTCATGACTCACAACTTACTTGTGAGCATCGTGGCTGCTTAGAATGGATTCCATATAAAAATTTGAAGAATATTACATATATTGCCGAAGGAGGTTTTGGTATTATATATAAAGCTATTTGGCTTGATGGAAGTATTAAAAATTGGGATCGTGAAAAAAATGATTGGCATCGGTTAAAATATATTATTGATGAAGTTAATTGGGAGGAGAGACATGAACCATCGGTATACGATGATGATGGTTCGTGTAAAGGTCGTATCGTTGCAATGAAACGCCTTTATAATTCTTCAACTATTGATAACGAATTCTTAAAAGAGGTAAGCAATTAAGTTTAAAGGTATTAAGGTGACATCTACATTTATTGTAAAATTTGGCCTAAAGGCTGAAAGTACGGTTATTCGACAAAGCTTCGAAATTTTTACTTTATCAAAAGCCGAAAAGTTGACTTTGTCTAAAAATTGACAAAAAGTGTTGAAACTATTATAGTAATCGAAAGATGATTTAACTTTTGATATAGTAACGATTAACAATATTCTAACAACTATAGTTAATTTATTGCAGTTAATACGTTTAATGATCTATTATAAAAATTAAATACCACGATTCACTATTTTCATTGTTTCATTTCTGAACGCAGTGGAAATACCATAATCAAATTGCAAGCCAAGGTGTACCAGTAACAGAGCTGTTCGGAATTAGCCAGGATCCTGAAACCTCTGATTACATGATCGCGATGTATTATGCTAAAAATGGAAGCTTAAGGAATAATTTGCAACAAATTTATAATGAGAAATGGGAAGTAAAACTAAATATTTTAAATACCATTATACGTCAGCTTGATCAACTTCACAAACTAAATTTGATTCATAGAGATTTGCATAGTGGTAATATTCTTATCACACATGTCAATGTTGAATATAATGATTATTATATTGCACACGTCAGCGATTTCGGACTATCTCAACCGGTCAACCATGACGATGATAAAGTATATGGAATACTTCCTTATATAGCTCCTGAAGTGTTAAATTCCAAAAATTACACTACAGCTTCCGATATTTATAGCTTTGGAATGTTAATGTATGAACTCGCATCTGGTGAACCCCCATTCAACGACATTCCACATAATTTACTTCTTGCTACAAGAATTTGTTCTGGTTTTAGACCTAAAATACATGACAACATTCCTGAATTTTACGGATTATTAATGCAATGTTGTTGGCAAGTGAATCCAAGCAAGAGGCCATCAGCAAATCTCTTGAAAAATATTTTAAATATTTTAATGAATTATAGAAGAGCGAAAATTGATAACGCGGATGAACGTGCCAAATATATTATTTCACAATTTCTGGAAGCAGATTCTGAATTATTACCACCTGTTAAAGGTTTACATCATCCCGAAGCATATCGTATTAGTCGTTGTTTTCCAAAATTAAAGAAAAGCAAATCAAGTGAAAATTTTGATTCTCAAGGCAAGTTGACAATGATAACTACTTGAATCTTTATAAATATCTGAAGATTTTAAAATTTGCTTACATTTAATTATTATCTTTTTTTTTTTTTTTTTACTGTTAATAGAACATCTTACTTCTATTAATATCGATATTGGTAAAATTTTTATATTTTAAATTATCTTTTGACATTATAAAGTATTAAATATAGTTTATTTCTATTTAACAGAAAATATTTTGAATGACTGGGATGCCTTAAAAGTACAGTACTTAGAATGATGATTTAAATGTAAGGATAGATTTTTGATATGTTTATTTTTGCAAATTTAAATATAATAATTTTTTTGCTTTTAGATTATTAAAAGTCGGCTATATAGTTTATTTTGAATAAATTTATAATTTTAGCATAGAGATTGTATCCGGGTAGATATTTTATTATATGGATATAATAAATTATCTGAATAACAAGGTAAATTTAATTAGTGAATTGACCCGTCACCCATGGGTCCAGGGGAGACCGTCTCAAATTAGGAAATGATTACCTGAGTCACCCGGCATCTACACAAATTTTTTTATACGTTTTATAATACTATTAATGAAAAAATTAATAATGCATTAATACACGTAGTCGATCATCGCTAATAATATCGATATGATGAATTAAAAACCAAACGTATTTTATATATCTTACTAATTAGCTGCGCCATATACTATTATGTCATTACTAGTTAACAATTCGATCAATCAAATAATAATCAAATTAGTAAATTTTTGAATTAAATAATTAAATATTATCAATTTATTAATTTATAAAATAAAAAAATTACAACTCAAGAAATGATTTTTTCACAAATTCTAATTTCTTTATTGTTGTATTACCTGCTGCTATTTTGATATTATCTATATTATTCTCAACTATATTTTCTCTTCTCTCATCAATAAGCTTATTATTATCTAATTTTTTTACCAAACTTATCTTTAGTGCATCAACATTTTTTTTAATTTTATCTTCAAACATATTAAGCATTTAAATTGATACTGTTACAGTAGGGAGGCCTTCTTGAACTCGCTACTATAACAATGACACGGCTACAGGGATCCTTTACAGGTTTATAGCGGTGT